AACCATTTCCGTTTTTTCACAAATTTCAATAACGTCAATACTTGGGTAACTCAAACCTCCCCTGCTTTTATGTTTTATCAAGGAATTCAAAAAGTTCTCCTTATTCCCAAGTAATTGTGAAACACAGTGCTCACATTGCAGTTTCCGCCCTAGTTTAAAAGAAACGAAACCTGTACCTCTGTACTGTAAGCAGATAAAGAGTCAAAATTAAGTGCATAGTTATGATCGTGATGATGTAGGTAATTATTCAACATATCATCCTGAGTATTATTTTCGTTTTCGAGTCGATTTGATACAGACTCATTAATAATTTGTTCTGGAGGTTTGGTCCTTGAACTTACATTTAATGTGTTAATGTCTTCAAGGGGTATACAGTTTCCAGCGCCACCTTCCCTGACTTCTGAGTGTATTAATATTTTTTTATATGCTGCAGTAAATTGCCTGCAAGTGGGATTGTTATTGTATCCCCCTTGAGACTGAAACCCCAATTTCTAATTACATCTAATATTAACACAAAACGATAATAATGTTACCCTAAGCTACGCCTATGTAATATGTTGTGATTCGTAGGTTAACCTAAATGTCATTCGAATAAATTTTTCACTTTTAAACATTTAATTAGGATTACAAACACTTACCTGTGAAATGTTACACCACAAGTTTTATGTTTTGGTGTTAGGGAACAACCACACGATACACAACTGACCATATTTTATTAACGGCAAACGACCAATCACGTGAACACGGAACCACCAAACTAACGATGAGTCATACGTGGAAGCTCAATATGGCCGCTTTCGTCTCGCGCTTTCTCTCAAGGATAGTTCGGAATGCTCCTTCCTGTTAGTTTTATATTCAAAGGGACTGACCATGCTTCTCTAAAATGGTTGTTGCAGTTTAAAAATGCAGAAGGACAAATTGCTCGATGGCTGCAAAGTATCCAGGAATATGACTTCAAAATTGAACATAGAAGGGGTTCGAGTCATAAGAACGCAGATGCT